GAGAGAGAGAGAGAGAGAGAGAGGGAGAAGAGAGAGAGACAGAGAAAGACAGAGATACAGAGAGAGACAGAGACAGAGAGAGAGAGAAAGAGAGAGAGGGAGAGATAGAAAGAGAGAGTCACTTACATGTGTGGGAGCAGCTCGTAGATGTTCCTACTCCTGTGCTCCTCTATCCCCCCGTGTGTGTAGAGAGGCAGTTTGTCATGGACAGTCACACATACAAACAAACAAACAGACACAGACACACACACAAACACACACAGACACACACACACATACAACCACACATAGACACTCACATATGTGGGGGCAGCTCGTAGATGTTCCTACTCCTGTATTCCTCTATCACCCCGTGTGTGTAGAGAGGCAGTTTCTCATAAGGGTTGACCGACACCACCACATTGCCGATGTACGTCTGTGGACAGGAGGGAAAGATTGAGAGAATGAAAACACCCATCATGACCGGCATTATCATTGTCATAATCGTCATGATTATTATCATCATCACCATCATCATCACCATCATCATCACCATCATCATCACCATCATCATCATCATCATCATCATCATCCTCGTCATCATCATATCACCACCACCACCACCACCACCGACCACCACCATCATCATCATCCCATCATCACCACCACCATCATCATCATCAACATCATTATTGTCACCACTCACTATCATCATAATTATTATAGCATGGAATCTTGCATGCAAAATATATACGTTTTAAAAAACCATTCCATACAGTAAAAGAAAAAACAACGAGCATTCTAGCTGTTAAATGGCTTCGTATTCGTCAATGTAACAATTGTTCATTAAAAAAACTGCTAGAAAGAGTTGATCTATCAATCGCTTCTGCCTGTGTTACAGCCCGTGTACACTGCCAATTTGATTTGCTTGATTTGAGTCCAGCAGATTTTCCTTCAAGGGAGGGGCCAAATTAATCGATCAATATGGTACAATACGACTGAATTCAACTAAATTCGACTGTCTCCTTAAAAAAATCAAACAGGCTTGTTTTTCAAAGTCGCGAGTCGAATCGATCGTATTGTGACGAAAGGGTAGCAAGAGAGTCATAGACAGACAGACACATAGACAGCATACTCACGTCGACAGACAGACAGACAGACAAACAGACACGCAGACAGACAGACACACTGACAGACAGAGAGACGGACGGACAGACAAACAGACAGAAAGAGTGACAGACAGTCAACTCACACAGATCCGCAGGTGGAGGATCCTCTGCTGTAGGTTAACTAGACAGACAGACAGGCAAACACACACACACACATAAACACACACACACACACATACAGACACACAAAAGTCATCTACTCAAATAGATCTGTTGGTGCAGGAATCTCTGCTGTTGATTCTCCAGACAGACAGACAGACAGACATACAGACAGACAGACAGACATACAGACAGACAGACAGACAGACAGACAGACAGACAGACAGACAGACAGACAGACAGACAGACAGACAGACAGACAGACAGACA